CGTTAAATCTCATGATAAAGAATTTGCAATCGTTTGTTGAGGATTGTACAAAGTACAATTGTACAATACAATCGGTCTAATCTATAAGCAAGGATCAAGAATAATAACATGAAAAATTCCTTTAAAAATTTGAAAATTTCTACTAATGTATCAAATTACATTCAGAAAGGCAGTTTTCTGTAAAAATCTTAGCAAGAGTTCTTGAAATAACAATTACATGTATCATCACAATGAGAAAAAAAGGAGTCGTTTTTGGACATTTGGATTTTTGGTTTTTGGAAAGAAATATTTAAAAAACCAAGAAAAGTTATACCACAATAAGCTATTTCACAATTTTGTTTTATCTCTATTGTTTTTAGCTTAAATGTTTCGGGAAAGATATCTGTTTATTTTTCAGTTTCCACTTACTGATTCTGAATTCCTGTCGTATGGTTTCTTGCGATATCCACTGGTATATCTACTGGTTGATGGTTCTGAGGAATCATAACCTCTGTTTCTCTCTCGCTTGGACATCTTTACGATGAACATTGCAATTAACAATGTTGGACGTCTCTGAAAAATTACTCTCCTATTTCGTTATACAATCTATCAATGCTAATTTAAACTGAGCAGAATTTATTCGAGAAAAACATTTTGCCACAATTTTATATCACATTTGTGTTTTCTCTGGTATAGGGAGATATCATGAGCAGCACTAGTGCACTTCACAGACTTCACTCGTGGCTCTTGCCGTGTTGACGTCGGCTGGATTCGGGGAGCGCGCTATTAGCGCTATTTGCTTGTTCTATCCTTGTTTTACACCTGATGAGCGATAAAGACAGAATGATGCAATAGCGCTAATAGCGCGCTCCTCGAATGCAGCCATTGGCGTCGTACTACACAACGGTTTCTCCCGTTTGTGTCGCGAGAATTGAGGAGAATTGCGAGGAAATTAAAGGCGAGATGTATGCAAACACACGCGTGTCGCCGCGAGTATTCACGGCGATACAGAATGTCGACATTATGGAGCTGTCGTTGTGCTCGCACAAGGAGATCAGGCCCATCTTGCCGTGTTTGGTTAGGATGAGCCTCATCTCGCCGTTGGACATAACGAAGGAGTGCGTGGAGGGTAGAAAGCAAGTGTTGACAATATTATCCGGCATCGAATCCGTCAATTCTATTATCGCTCTGTTGTCTATCGATTTCCACGCCCTCGAGATTGACGTGCGACAGGAGCAGCAGTTGAGGTTAGAACACGTAACGCATTCCACCTTGTATATACGCGTTTTTGCATATCGAACTTGAAGTTTATCACTGAAGGGCGCCTCGTTGTCGAATCCTTTGCATCGCGACGATTCAAATTTATATTGTTATACGGTTTTCGCATTTCGAGAACGATTTTACGCTAACGCTCGCCTCTTTTCTTTCTCAGACAAAAGCTCGGCAGCGTACAACGGGACAGCGTGCTGGCGCAGTCTCTGCAGAGCGGCTTGGCGCTAGAGTTTGAGCGCAGCGAGTCCATTCGTAGGATTAGGCTGGTACTGAGTGAAATCCTGTTCATAGCGTCTCAAATACAAGAATTGCAAAAGAATCAGGAGTTCCAGATCAGGCAGTCCGATCTGTTTGACAATGCAGTCTACATGGAGGAGATAAGTTACGTGATCTGCATTGCTCTCGCTGAACTTCCAACGTTACTCTCCCTCTTGGACATCGTGGAGACCCTTTTGCACGTCAAGCACGGTTCCAATATTATCTGTTGGATTGTCGCCAATAGTCCGGACAGTTTTTCAGAGGTATGCGCACATCTGATCGCTAACGGGGAACGACAGGAGGAGTCCGCGTTGGGCAGGATCAGGACACAGGCGATCACGATGCTGTGTCAAATGAATCCGAGCCAAGCATTGGCGATCAGGGCCAAGTGCGTGGAACTGTGCCGGATGCCCGCTCTGGCTATCACTCTGAGCCTAGAACATGAAAACGCAAACAGCTCGCAGCCCGAGAGCGACGTGGTCGCATTTGTGTCCGGCTTGCTGCTTGGCAGCGATCAGCAAGTACGCTCGTGGATCGCTATGTTTATCAGGAACGGACAGAAGCGTAAGTGGGAGTCGCAGACGGCTCTGCAGTTGCTGCGGGAGGAGCTGCTCAAGCGACTACAGACGATCGCGTCACAGAGTACGGACAGTCAGTTGGCGGAGTCGCAGGTCGTGCAGGCGAGCGCATTGCTCAGGCTCTATTGCGCTCTGCGAGGTATCGGCGGTATTAAGTTTCAGGACGACGAGGTTGCGATGATCGTTCAGCTTTTGACGTCACATCCGCCACCGTCGCCGGCCGGCGTCAGATTCGTGTCCCTCGGCTTGTGCATGCTGATAGCGTGTCCTTCTCTGATCGGACATCACAATCTCGAGAAGCGCAGCATCGAGTGGGTGCAATGGTTGGTACGGGAGGAAGCCTACTTCGAGAGCGCGAGCGGCGTTACTGCCAGTTTCGGCGAGATGCTACTGCTGATGGCGATACACTTCCACAGCAATCAGTTGTCGGCGATCTGTGAGCTGGTTTGTGCCACGCTCGGCATGAAGATACCTATCAGGCCTAATAATCTCACACGTATCAAACAAATCTTTATGCAAGAGATCTTCACGGAACAGGTAGTCACTGCTCATGCTGTCAAGGTGCCGGTCACGGCGAACCTGAACGCCAATATCCCCGGCTTTCTACCAGTGCACTGCATTCATCAGTTGCTGAAGTCACGGGCGTTCGCGAAACACCGGGTGCCCATCAAGAATTGGATATACCGACAGATCTGTGCGAGCGTCCCACCGCTGCATCCGGTTCTACCGGCTCTCGTGGAAGTCTACGTGAATTCTATCTTGATGACGAACAACAAAACGTCGGAGCACACGAACAAGCCCATCACCGAGAACGAGATCCGCCAGGTGTTTCAGAACAGCGTGTTCGGGGCGAATTTCGACTTCAAGAAGGATCCCGTTAACGTTATGCAGACAGACGCCGATAGCATGGACATCGACGCGTCGAAACCTTCGCTTACCTCCCAGTTACTGTTGCTGTATTATCTCCTGCTCTACGAGGACGTAAGATTGTCCAACATGCACACCTTCATGTCGCAAAGCAGAAAGGTCAAATCGTACTCGACGGAGTTTCTGTCCGAATTACCGATCAAATATCTGTTACAATTGGTCCAGCGAGATCAGATGAACTATGCCAGCTTGTTCTCGCCGCTTCTTCGGCTGCTGGCAACACATTTCCCTCATCTGTCTCTGGTGGACGACTGGCTCGACGATGAGATGATTAACATAGATTCCGCCATCGCGAGCTACGAAAGTACCAAAATTAGCGACATTGCGATCGTCGAGGCATTTAGCCACGTCAAAACTTGCCCATCGAGAACCGGTAGATTATTGAGGCAACTGATGACGCTAAAACCGACTGAGATCTGGCCTCACGCTGAATTGATAGTACATTATTTCAAGGATATTCTCGACGAGCAGGTCCCTAGATATATACAAGGTACGTTGTTTTAATAATAATTTAATTATTTAATAAGAATCATCTTATTTGTGTTTTTTAATTAAAATCCATGTTCAGTATGTGTTAATTATTCCACGTGTTATGTAAGAGAGATTTGTATATTAATTATATTATTAACGAAGAACTTACAGGAGGCTGTTTTAATTTCAGAACTTTACAAACAAGTGTGGCTCAGACTTAATACAGTATTACCGCGTTGTTTGTGGGTCCTCTCCATCAACGCATTGCTAATAGAAAATTCAATAGTGAAAAATGTCTTTTTAACACAAGACAATATTGTATTAGATCCGTTGCAAGTATTGAGATGTGACACGAGAGTTTTTAGATGCGCGCCGATTTTATCCGTAATTCTGAGGTAAGCCGAAAAAAATAGAGTAAACATTAAATAGAGTAAACAAATTCTTTAAATTACGTTTATAATAAAAGTAATAAAATTATTTTTTAACTGTTCGTAGAATTTTACAAGCTACGTTGGCCGCTTCGCGATCTCAATTATCCAGACATATGCAGGATAAGCCTCTGACTGAAAAAATCACAGGACAGTTGACGAGCGAAACGGAAAGGGAAGATTTGAGGATAGCTTTGGTGGCGGGTCAAGAGAGCGCGGCGGTGCAGATTTTATTGGAAGCATGCTTGGAAACGGAAGAAGACAGAAAAACTCCTGGACAAATGTGGTCTCTTCGGGAAATACGAAGCGTCGTATGTTCCTACCTGCATCAAGTATTCATAGCCGATCCGTCTCTGGCCAAATTAGTTCACTTTCAGGTATTACTAATATCTTAATAATTAGTAACATAAATTATATAGAATGGATACTATATTATAAGGTTTATCTATTTCCCTTATCATTTAACTAATCGCCATCTAAATATAAAATTCTGATTAATTTCGATTTATAATACATCTCACGATGGATACTTTTTCTACAGGGTTATCCACGAGAATTGCTCCCGATCACGGTTTCTGGAATTCCATCTATGCACATCTGCCTCGACTGGATTCCTGAATTATTGTCGCAGCCCGAATCAGAGAAACAAGTGTTCGCCGTTGACTTGGCTTCGCATCTGGCGATTCAGTACGATCTGCCGAAGGCCCTGAGTGTTTCTCGATTAGCAATTAACACCCTGATAACGCTATTAGGCGTGTTATCCGCCGAGGATCGAGTCATTCTCTTCATGCCAGTGTTGTCGTCGTTGACGCGGATATGCTTGGCTTTCCCTCCATTGGCTGAGGATATCACAGGATTGTTACTGCAACTTGGCAGAGTCAGTACGGCTCAGGCAGCATTGGGTGACAAAGCGGCGGATTTGTTATGTCAAGAAGTGAACAAAACGTTTTGCACGCTACTACAGAAAGCTATATTGCAATCGCGAGTTTACTGAAGTGCAACTAGTTAGCTGTAGTAGAACTGTTAATTATCTTGATAGTTATAATGTGTTATTTGTACATAAATCTATATTACTTATTCACCATTGTAAAGCGACTTTTAATTTTGTACTACTTTTTTAATCGTATAATTGTCGAAATATCTTTGATACATTTTGTAGCGTTAATAAGACTGTATTGTTCGACCATCCGTCAAATGACGAGGATATGATCAAGTCAAAGATATGTGTACCATTATTAATTAGTACAGTTTTTTTATTGTATCATCTTTTTTTTTTATATATGGGAGTACTGCACGGTCGCGTGTGTATTTATTTTGAATTTAAACATAAGTATGAAAGAATTATATGTATATTGACTCAATGTCCCTTGTCTCTTATAGAGACAAAAGCAATTTCTTATATTGAGAAAATAAATTAATATTTTCTATCTTCTATACTGTTGTGTGTGTGTGTGTGTGAGAGAGAGAGAGAGAAAGAGATATGTAACAAAATAAAGAGAGGCGTTTCACGTATTCTTCAGTATGTATTTACAGGATTTATTATATTATACTTAAAACACAGGCGATATATACTTTCTATCTTTTCTTGCGTCTACAACGGTTTGTCATGTTTTGAGCGCTGTTGTTTTCTTTTTCACAAGTCATAACGCAAAAATCATGTAGAAATTATCGTACATCTCATTTTCTTCGTAAAACAAATAATTACTGAAGATCATCTAAATGATATCGTTACATAGAGTATTTATGTACGTGTCTTACGCGACATAATCTACACGATAGGGATGCATATTAAGACGTGTTAGACGTATGTTACATATTCAGATCATGCATTTGTTAACACACAAAGCTGGAATTAACGAGCTCGTTTATTCCAAGGAATTTAACATCAAGAGCTGCTTTAGCACTTTAGTTTGGCTCGTCTCTCTGATCTCACCTGCTAAGAACATTTCGTCTACAACGGTGTACACCTAAAATATAGTCATCATTGTAATCAAATAATGTTACAGCTGGTAACTATAAAGTAATAAAATTTCACAAGATTACATTTAATCAATTGAAATAAAGGATTTACTGAGTCTCGCAAATTTCATTGGACACTCGTAAGAAATGATGTAACAAAAATATTCATCGGAGAAGGAGAGGAATAATACCTTGTAAAAATTAAAGACTAAATCCAACTCGCATACATTGTGGAAGTATTCGTTCAACACCTCCACGAAATTGTGTATTGCTTCCAAGTAACAGAGATTGTTGTCGTTAACATCGACGCAGATGCAGAAATATAAGCCTGCATACCGCCTGTACACTATCTTGAAATTGCGAAACTGAAACGTATACATAATTTGACATTAAGTACAGTGGGGTGTAATATGCGAGAGAGCGGTGCCTTGTTAGACCAACCTCGACAAAGTTTGTATGCTTCGCATCTCTAACGGTGACCACCGCGTGAACTTCCTCTATCAACTTCTGCTTCTCGTCATCGTCAAAGTTCATGTACCACTTGGCTAACCTAGTCTTACCGGCCCTGTTTTGTATGAGGATAAACCGTATCTGTAAAGAATAAACATTTCAAGCTTATATAATCCTCATTTAGATATTGTTAATTCAATCATCCGCACTATGATTGTGAATGTAAGATAATTATCAAAGATATGTTTCTTTATTTTTCAATGGGCGACTTTCATGCAATGTGAATGCAACATTATAATCAATTACTTTTCTTTTTATGATTGAATGTTACATATTACATCCAAGTTTGTCAAAAAGGTCGTTCAACCACCTGACAGAAGTAACGAAATGTCAAATAAGCGAGATGACATTTTGGAGCATATTTCCTTTTATGTGTTCTTATCGACACCAAGAAGAGATATTAATCTGATTTGAAATTAAATATTTTTACACGTACCATCTTGAAAATTGATTTAGCACTCGACGAAATGTCCTACAAAATTTGAGTAAACATAAGATTCTATCAATTCCCCGCCCACCGATCACGAATTGTCACGAATGTATAACAGCGGCTGACAGCAGTGACAGCGGCCACTTTGGAGTCGAGATATGTATTCGCTGGGAAAACAACGCCCTCGCATAATTCTTATCGCAAATCAAAGGACCACCGAATGTTGATAACAATACTTAAATGATAATTAAAATAGTTTTAGACTTATCATATGTCGATAACATAATCAACAGACAGTAAGTTTATTCTAATTGTCAAATATAAAGCATATGAATAAAGTACATACATGAAAAATATAATCAGCTCAAGACTTCATATAGGGTGCGTTCCACTGTCCTTGTTTAACATTTGACAAATAAAACGAGGTTGAAATGATTCTAAGAACGTTGCGGGCGTTAAATAAAACGCACCCATATAATGTCTGCTGCTTTAAATTTAGGCTACTCGCAGAAATTTTAACTTTATTCCTTTTTTTTTTTGCTTTTATATCGCGAATGAGACCGTCCTTCACATGAAATGATAAAATGATAAAATATTATTCGCGAATCAATATACATATAATAATAACAAAGTTTAATGATAATAATATAATTAAAACAAAGATATATTTATACAAAATAAACTATATGATACATCAAGAAGTCAGAGAGATTATTCCCTTCGCCGTTAATTCGCCGTCGTCGAAGGTGGGATATGCTTTTAGTCTAATTTGTCGGCAGTGATTGCACACGCTCAACTTCCCGCTCATTATCGGGCAAAACGGCAACGGCAACCGTTAATTCCTAATAGAGCTAGAAGGAGGAACGGCCGGGTTGCGCGACGAATGTCAAATATTAATTTTGCCAGGCGCGCAGTACGCGCAGTATTTGCATTTAATTACCGCAGTTTGCGCAAACCGTGCCGTCTCTCGCCTCCTCCTTTCCCGCGTCCCATCAGGCCTTCTTTCTCTCCTCCTCCGTCTCTCGCATATCCTACATTTTACGATCCTTTCTTTCTCATTTCGAGACCGAAGGCAGATCCCGAAGCTCCGTTGCTCATCCGCAATCACTCGGAGGGAATTAATGCCGCTGGTTACGTAACGATAAATCGGAGAGATCCACGATTGAGAGACTTGAGAATCTTACCTCAGACTCGCGCGACTTACGAGAGATTTCGGTGAAAGTATAGCTTAGGATCTTGCACTTTCGGTCGAAGCTGAGTAGTTTTAACGTGTGTCGAATGGCAAAGAGATACACTTTCTACGTAACATTCAACGATTATACTCGGTTTTCTTATAACATCATTTATGACATTTATATAGCACCGTGAAGAATAATTAAACAGAAAGAATTTCTGATATTATATTCATATTAATATTCAGAAATTCGCGCTCAGCATGAAATAATAGAGTGATTGGATTGAGAGACGTAAGTCGCGAGCGAGCGATTCGTTCGAGAGTAAAAATCTGAACAAACGTATAATTTCCTCGAGTTTTTCCTCTTTCGAGAGTGAATCTGTCTTTCGGATGGAAAGACGCGAAAGGCGAAAGGCATATCGAACTTCGCGGGTTGTTGGAAAGGTACCGATGCATAACGCAGAACTGGAGTTACCGCTTTCGACTGCGACGAGTAATGAGTAATCCTGAAATTTTGTCTTCTTCACGGGACACGTATAATTTAATTGACGTTAATTTCTTAAAGATAAATATTGAAATTAGAAGATTTATGGATAATAAAATAATTCATTTTAAAGATGCTTATTAACAATTATTATTATTATTAAATTGATTATAAATCAATTAGAGCAAATCAAATAGAAGTGAAAAAATGGTAATAAGGGTCAAGTCTGGTTAATGCGGCGCGTGTATTTTTTTTTAATTGTAAATATGAAATTAATATACATCATCAATATCACCAATATGGGCGTAATCTCTTATGTCACCCGAGCAGTGGGAAGTGCAGTTTCCAATAAAACACAGACATCAATTGATATGATATGTATTATTCCCCAGTTGGTAGGCCAGAAAGTAAACAATCAGCTGACCTCATTACACATACCTCCATACCGGAAACGCTCTAGTTTTAAAAATATAAACTGACTGACAAACAATGTTAAGAAGATGTATATGCTGAGATTCGTATTGGAACATCTGGAAATCGATAGTGTTATAATCTATATCGGGTGTTACAATCTAATCGGATCCTGAATAAACTATGCCAACTATGGCATTGATGGAAGACTCGACAATCCATAATCGACAAGAAACGCGAACAAGAACGAGTAATCCTGACGTGATTCCTTCGCGAAAGTTATACACGCGACATAAATTGCTCCTCTTCTGCCCTTTATATTCGCGTCCCGCTGCCGAGCGCAGCCTCGTCTTGCGTCGACTGACCTAGGCACTTAGGATAATAGAATCATATGAATTGTCGGCTCGTTACGATATCTGACAAAACGCCGCATCGCGCGCCGGCTCGCGAATCTCGACCGTTTTAGTCCTTTGCACCGGCACGGCGAGTCGGCGAGCGTATTTACGATAGCGATGACGCGACGGGAACGTTTATAGTTTCTTACGGGCTAACACGATGATTGCGAATTAGATGAATAAATTGCAACTGAATTACGCAACTAAGCTAATGCAACGTTAATGCCTCGGAGAGTTCTTACCTTAATTCCAATCATCGTGATTCAATCGCGACGTTGAGTATTAAAAGGATTGCGCAAATTTCACGCTATGATTATTTTCCTTGCAGGAAAATCCTCGATCCCGGATACGTCCGTTGACGTAAAGACCAAGATTTACTGCCAGAGAATGCGATAAAACATATAGATCATATTTTCAAATTATAACTGGATCGACTTGATATTTTTTTTACCTCTGCAGGCGGAACAGGATGATTTAAATAACGAGACGCATAAGTGAGTAAAGAATTTATATTTATATCTCCGAACGATGATATATTGAGCATCTGTCACATCCGAGTGGTACAATATAAATATATCGAAATAAAAAATACATATTCGAAGTCCCAAAACTTCGCGGTGAGAAGTGACGCGAGCGTTAAATATAATTGGAAAAACGCTCGAGAAGGCCGCGTTCGTTTCTTGAGCTCCCTCTGCGAGCGATTTGATTTTTCCCACCGCATTCGCGCTACTTAAATGCCAACAACATTCGCTGATCGCTAAAAAAGTGTCAACGAAATTGCGTGTAAAATCAAATCGCCTCTTGACGCGCACTCGCGACTCGCGCGAAATGTGCGTGAAATGCGGATATATCGATTATCGCGTTTTCTACTTCTATATATTGCCTCGCAACTTAAAACACACATAATCCTACGACGATGGTCCAGGTAAGGAAACGGTCGTGTCGCTTCGCGGGACACAGAGCATGGATCTCGCGTAAGGGACACGAATAAGATTTTCAATGTCAGTGAAGATCGTAGTAAAATATTCTCTCCTCGATCTGACACGAATTAAATTCTACGTAGCGTTACAAAATTTCTCAGAGTAATCTCTGAAGCTATTGATAATGTCTTCAAAACTCTCGGATCTCTCACTAAATTTTGTGGAGTATTTAAAAATAGTTGGGACGATTGTACGAGATTTTGCTCGGCAAAGCTACTGTAAGGTCAGAAGTTACAGTCAACTCTTGTACGTCCGGCGCACTTAATTCACCCATTCGTCTTGCTTTCGTTTCGCAATGCGAATGTTAATTTCATTGACTGTTACGTCTTAACGCGCACCGGATGTGTCCTACGCGAATTGCGTCGCCGTACATTTCGCAATGCGACAAAAGCGTGGCGAACTCAAGAGATGACCGTTTGATTTCACCATTTTAGATCATAATATACCATAATATATAATTACAATATTTTTTCTCATATACCTTCGCCTATAAATAAAAATCATAAAACGTTGTAATAATCGTGTGCGATTGCGCAAACAGGATTAAACTAAGTGCGATGATTACATGAAATCGCTGCGGAAAGGTTTGCTTCTCGCTCGTAGAAACGTAGTAAATAGAAATCGGAGCGCGAAAGAATAAGCCAGGAAAAACTTGAGGCAGATAATAGGCGCTTTAATTAGTCACCTCGCGACTGTGCTGGATAACGTATAATAATTAGTCACGTATCTGCGGACACTTGGTGTGAGCGCGTACAAAAATAAAATGCGAATTATTTAGAGTAAGGGTCCCCAACCTATGACCCGCGGGTCGAATCCAGCGCCCGTGAAATTTTATTCGGTCCATCCAAAAATTTCGACGTTATATATATTACAAAATGTCTCGATTTGAAATTTTTTTTTATATTATAAAAGTCTGACGCAACGACGACCGCAGACCCAACCGCAACAATTTATAGAACCGTGTACGATAAGAAATTATCGTACACGATATGTTTCTTTTTTCTCTTTTCTTCTTTATATATACCGTTGCGCCTTTGGTTCTGCGGTTTGGTCGTCGTTGCGTCGGACTTTTATAATATAAAAGAATTTAAAAATAAACGTTTTGTTCCATATAATTTCCAAAAATAAAACTTATCCGGCTTCTCGGTCATTAGAAAAATTTTAATGTAACTCTTTTGGCAAAAAAGGTTGAAAACTCCGAATTTAGGGCACTTAACTTAGTTAGCCTACCGGCTAGAAAGAGAAAAAAAGAGAAAGAGAAAGAGAGAGAGAGAGAGAGAGGAATGGAAATAAATTATCTGTCGCACGATCGCGCGTTAGGGCCAAAGCACATATGACAGTTGTAGTCGTGGACGTAAGTAACGCACAAGCTTTGGCGTATCCTGATCTGTCAGGTCGAGGACTACGACCGTCGTATATCGCTACGCCATGTTATGTGCTTTGGCCCTTACGAGTGCGCGACAATTGTTATTTCCGGATACGCAATTACAACTGTTATCCGTGCAATTACAATTGGTATCTACGAATGATGATCGTGCGACGTGCCTATCGAGAGAACGCGTGTGTATGCGTGCGCGTATACAATACTGCGTACAATCTAGAGTATGTAAGTACGTATACTACGGTGCCGGAACTGTAACCAAGGTTCCTAATACGAACTTTGGGTTTGGAGAACGTCGAGATGCGGGCTCATCCCGCGACGATGCGGAGCCCCAGGCCCCAGCTCGCTCGTCGTTACTCTCCGCGTAGTTTCAGCGAGAATCTGTCTGCAGATCGTGCAACGTGCAAGACCACTTAATTCCGACGTCTCCGCGCTTTCTCTAAACGAGCATGTGCATCCCGCGTGAGTGAAGTCATCTTCTTCGGCGCGACGACTTATGACTCACACGGTCTAATCATCTTTGTTCCGTCATTTTTTGCGTCGCTCGCAAGGTCGATCCTGTGCAAACGTCATTTGTCTCCTCCCGGCGAACGGACTAGGAGGCACGCGATCCCCGATCGCGTCAGGCATCGTCTTATCTCATCGGGTGTCGGAGTCTCTTTGTATTTTTCCCTCCGTGCGGAGAATCCTGCCTCACGATCGGGGACGGCGCGACGGTCTTCTTCAGACCTGAACGTAAATTATAATTACGATTTTGTTGTGCGGTAAAAAAGAGTCTCCCTTCGCCCCGCACGCACCTCAACATGTCGGCGAAGAATCATGCCAAGGACACAATTGGAGTATTACGCCGCGCGCCGACGAGCGCGGCGCGGAGCCTTGGCCTGATCTTCGGGGCTCATTAAATCGCGACGATACGCGCGCGATTTTTCTCACGGCGTTTCTCCGAGAGAAACCGACGACGTACAGCTGCTCCTTCGCTTGTCCAACGACATCGGAATCGATTTCGACTTTTAGAATTCTGAGAGAGAAAAATCGTGGCGCGATCGAGGGAACGCGACGTTCCCTCTCGTCCTTAGGGAAATGAACAAATGCGAATCCGATCTGTCTCGCAAAGTGATACTGTACAAACCCAAGCTATCGATTAAACCTACCCAGAACTCGATCGGTTTAGTAATTATTGAGACATTATAATCTGAGCGTCTCTATACTCGACGGTTCGCGTACAAATACACGGTCTGTGTCCCACTGCGCGTCCCACATTTGGTGTAAGACACTACTGTGTTTCTTGATCTCTTTAAAAAATCAGCGTTAATTTCACGAACTATTTCGTTAGAATGTTACCGGGGTAATTTCGATTCCTCGAAGAGCGCGAAAGACGTTAGAAAAGCTAAGGAGCAGCGTAAAACAAAGACGACAATAATAATACGCTAAAATAAAATAATACATACACACATACATACATACATAATACATACGTATACGATAAAATATAATACGTATTTTTTTTTAAACGCAGCGCGCTAGGAACACAACACGTGTAAGTCCCCAGACGCAATAAAATATAAAACTACAATTAATTAGTGTGAGCGGTATCGGCGTGGACGGGACAGCGAGATTACGAATGACGCAACGGTTCTCCAAAACACTAATTAAAAAAATCACTAACAGAAGCATTAATAAAAAAAATATTAAAAATATAGAGAGCAGTAAATTTATACTTAACAATAATTTAAAAAAATCAGATCGTATTCATATAATATTCGTAGGAGACTCGTTAAGGACTCAACGACCGAGGATCTTATCAGAAAATAATCTCTTTATCCCGTCCATCCGGGAATCTCGGTCGACTCGACCGGCCGCCTCCGGCGTCGCGCTTCCTTTCTTTCTTCTTTTATATTTCATCGCGCCACGGGGCCCGAAAATCTCTCGTAATCGTGCCTCGGACGTATGGCACCGGAGAACGGAAGTATAGTACGATACTTCCGCAGGATACGAAAAAAAAGAGGCGATAACGAGAAACGCGCCTCGCCGAATGTGCGCGCGAGGAGAGGCCGATATCTCGAATCTCGGGCGCGCCAGTGCCCGCCCGCGTTATCGCGCGGCATATTATCCAGACGATGACTAGATAATATTCGGAGGGGGAGGGGAAGGGGGAACGTGAGAGGAACGAGGTGGAGGGAAGTCGCTCCGGGGGCACTCTCCATTCATCGTGACACATTTATTTCGCATCTCGGACGCGCGGCCGCGCGCTCTCGATTGGCGCAATAACGCGCGACGCGCAATAATCGGCGACGGGATACCTATCCCTCTCGGCGGCGCGCCAACGGGATTATAATTAACGTAAACCACGCGTTTCCGCGAGCACGTTTCACCAGCGAGATATCTATCCGTACTTTGTCGCGAGCGGGGCTAATTGAAACAGACGGTGGAGCGCGATAACGGATAAGATTAGCGATTACGAAATCCTTCGGATGACACTGAAACGTAATTCATTCATTAGAAGATATACTTGGATGTTAAATTCCTAATGAAACGTCAAAAAGAAAAATCGTTCTCAGATTCTCCTCTTAATTGGGAGAAAGTACGTGATATCCGATACATCCTGTTAGATATCTACTTTGACCTGATTTATACCGTGGATCGGATGTCGTCGATGAGTACGCGTATAATCGCACGCGGAGACCGCCGATTACACAAAGGAACCCCTTGGGAACCACGTGAACGGTAGTCCTCCTACGTTACGTTGTAAAAATATTGTCCCGCATTCTTTCAATGCCGGATGCGGCGTTGTCCGATTTCGTTCGGTTCTAACAATAAGTGAGGGAATGCTGCCGAAAATACAGAAAAATTAGATACGTTTATTCGCTGGGAAACGTGCGACGAAAACGCGAGCGATCGTAATCTATTGTAGAACAGTTTAGCACCGGGACATGAAAAGAAAAGCCAGAGGTCGAGACCATCATATAGAACCATCATAGAACCACTTGTGACTACCTTACGCGCAGGAGACACCTCTCTCCCTTCTCGAGAAAATAAAATTTCTATACGTATTACAGGGAATAATATTTTACAAAACTAATTCTACGATAATAAAAATATTTCTTTGGAATTCAGAGAAAGATATAAAAGATACAAAATAGAGTAGATTCTGTCTTCCAGCGTCCGGGGATCCCTCCAGGATGAAAAGTTATCACTTGCGTTCGACCTCTGTTAGGAAAGCCTGACTGGTGGACACGATTGGGTGCATCGTGTAAAAATTTAAGCGGCGAGATATCTCTATGCCGTTTCGCGGCACGCAATCTCTCGCTGTATTCTCCTGCGTGCGCCACTCACTCGCACTTGAACAGAATGATGTATGCGCGGCTGTGTACGTGTGTGTGTGTGTGTGTATGTGTGTGTGCGCGCGCGAGGTCGTCAGTAAAACGACGGCTGGTTCGTTGGTACCGCGTCAGCCGGTACGCGTTTAACCGGCACTCGAATCGCATTAAGGCGGTAACGATCGCACCACTTGGTTCGCCAGGGTCAAGCGTAGGACCTTCGTCGCTTTCAGCCTCGCTGGTTATCTCTTACACTTACTCTTACCGTCGAGCAGCTTCTTCCAGAGATCGAACTGCTCGCTGTACTTGACCATGTGGATGCTGATGCCGCGCTGGATGTTGCAGGCGGTGTACTGTATCCGTTTGTTCAGGAACTCGTTGGCGTGCGAGCGTCGGATGCCGAGCCGGTGCGCGACGATGCCCGTGGTGAATACGTCCTCGAGCTTCAGATAGGTCTGGTCCAGGGCGGCGTCGTACAAACGGCGCACCGTGTCGCTCGACAGCAAGTACGCCGGTCCGGTAGTGAAGTCCGGGAATATGGTCTGCTGGAATTGCGCTTGCGACACGTAGTACTTGCTCTTGCGATTCCGGATTGGCTTCCACTTTCTGGCCAGTCGGCCAAATATCACGTTACGATCCTTCGCGTGCTTGTAAACGAACGCCAGCAGTCGCGGCACGTTGATGAACATGTCGTCGTCGGTCTTGAGCAGATATTTTACCTTGGGGCAGTAGGTGTCCACCCACTCCAACGTCGAGATGGTCTTGAGCGTGAGATTCGAGTACGAGTCGAGGAAGCGGCCGCGTATTATATCGTTGTACATGTTCTGTTCCTTACGCAGGATCGTCTCCACTCTTGGATCGAGGGTGGTGCCGAGCATGAAGAGCACGCTCATGTCGCTGCGCTGGCCAAAGTGTCCCCAAGTCTGCCGGATTGCCGTTCGCGCCTCGAGATGGGTCGGCGCCGACATGACGATCACCACTAAATCCATGTTCTTGCCGAGGTTCGGGCACCGTTCGGGGATCGACACGGTGTGCCCGGCCTCGTATATGGCACGCGCCGAATCGCTGCGAACCACGATCGGCGCCGACTTGGTCACGTTGATAACTCTCGCCGTCTGAAGCTTCTCGTTCGTGCTCTGCTTCGAACTGACCAACGTGCTCACGGAAGACGACGAGGACAGGGACTGCGCGCTGGAGGACGTTGACAGCGTGGTGATGAAAATCAAAGAATTATTACTAGCGTTGTGCGCTGCGTACGGGTTCAGAGACAGGCCATCCGAACTGGAGTTTCTCGACTGGCTGAGATTCACGTGCGCATGAAGGCCATCCTGGTATATGGAGTAACCTGGAATTCATTAATTCTGGATAACGGTCAACTTACAAACAGATGCATAAAACAAACTGTACAAAGATATTGACCACTGTGCTTCAAGTAAATGTTACAACAATACCCATCTCTTATCCTTTGACAAAAGAAAGTGTAAGAGAACTTATAATGCAACTTGAATTTGCAAATTAATAATTGACGACAGAATCTTTTGCTTTTCATTCAATCGACTTCCTTTGATCAAATTTATTATTCTTTTAAGAAACAGTGGCTTTAATAATTTCAGCAATGTACAAAGAGAGACATATAAGAATTATAGATGCTCACTGGTGTTTCGTGGCAAGCTGTACTGGCGAACATCATACACGGTGGTACGGTAATACGCGTAGAAGGTCAGGCCGATCAGCGCGAGGATCAGGGTCTGCAGAAAACGACTCCTGAAATGCAGGTAGTGGAACATGACGAATGCTTGCTCTGGTCACTCTTCTCTCTCTCTTTCTCTCTCTCCTCTTTTGTTTTCTTCGCAACGCGGAATCACCGGCGAGGGCTATATCATCGTGTACGTCGCGCGGCGGACGACCTGACGGCCGTCGTCGTCGCTCCCTCGTGGACTCCACCGCGGATCGGAGCACCACTACGTCCCGCCGTACGACAGATTATTTCCATACTGCGCGCTGGGCCCCACTCGTCCGTCGTTTGCTCGTTTCCTCGCCGGGGATAGAGCGGGGGAAGGGGATCGCGGCCCTGGAGCCGCGCGAGTCCGTTCTGCGCCCCGCTTCCAAGAAGACGGGCTCGTCCAAACTTCCTCGCGCGTCACATCACACGGGGTGCAGGTTGTCGCGCACTCCTGCGCACTCCGACGTCGTCGTCGGCGGTCCGGACTCCGGGCCTCCGGGGGCGCGCCTCTGCCGAGAGTGCCGAGTGCCGAGTGCCGAGGGCAGATACACTTTCGTCGCGCCAGCGGGCGTCGCGACGGGCCCCACCGACGGGGCGCCGTCACCGGCGTTACCATCGACGGCGCGTCCTCTGTTTCCGTCCATTCCCGTCAGATGACGTGGTGCACCTTCTATTCTATTATTGCGTATTACCGTCAGATGATGCAGCGTGCGTTCTACTTTTATCCATCGGTCCATCGCTGTAACGTCAGATGACGCGACAGTTTGCGCAGTTTACTGTTGAAATTTTGCGCGTTTGCAGGGAGTGCGAGGACCGCGAGGACTGCGAGTGCAAATATGAACAAGAACAATATTGTTTACAACATTGCAGTAAGTTTGGTCGCTTGCCACTACTCTAGTTATAAGACTATTACAGATTTAATTAATTAATTAATATTTCCAATAAGTAACACACGCTATCCATAGTCTGCGATCGGTTCTGTTCCGAAATGATTTCTTTATGTGCCCGAAATGATTTTTTTATGAGAATTATGAGAAACAAAAAATTAAAGGATAAAACATATGCCCGTTATGGAACACTTGAGCTGTCATGTTCTCGAAATATTTAGCGTTTTATAAAATAATTTTTTTATAAGCGTTTACGTATAAAAAAATATGTCAGTAAAATGAGATTATAAAGTAGTACATAAATGTTGATGTCAAGCATTAAACTTGATTATAACTTTTTTTTTATTTACAGTTGGAATTTTGCGCGTCTGCGAGGAGTGCGAGGACTGCGAAGTGCGACTGCAAATATGAACAATATTGTTTACAACATTGGAGTAAGTTTGATCGCTTGCCAGTGTTAGTTAATTAACTAAACATTAGTTATGTTTCAACAATTATTAAGTTGCACTAAAAATGGTATAGTGCATTCATGTCAACCATCAAAATTTTTTAATCAAGAATTAATTAATTAAACTAATGTTTAGTTAAACCAACTAAAATGTTTAATTGCACGTATCGAACCAAATATTTTTTCGGATTAACAAATTTTTTTCCTCAATGTGCGAACGTATACCGATGAATTTTTTTTATGTCTATTGAATTTGCTATTAAAGAGAGCTATTTCTCTTATATGTAGACTTAATAAATGTTGATTGAGATAAACGCTAAATTATAAGTTTGCGAAACTGTCTTCGTCAAAATGATGTTTTGGGCGTAATCTTTTCGAAGGCAATTTGATTGAAATATTGAACTAAATTAGATAAATAAATGCGAAATGTTGAGTATTTTTTGGCTAGATTTTAAACTAAATGTCTCAACTGAGACGTGAACTAAATTAGAGGGAATTGAATTAAAAATGACGGAAGTTGGAGAGAGATCTGTGAGATTTTAAAAATTTTCCGTATGCGAGGGTTGATTACGAATTTACCGAAAAATTCCGTCGTTGCTGGCGATGGTGCCGGATCATTCCGTATGCGTAGCTTCTTTCCGACTGTCGTTCATGTATCAGCATATATCCCACGGAAGCTTGTAGAACGCCATGAATGTTTAACGGTATCAGAGGCCGCATAACAGATGTATTGGCGTTACGTGCTTGAAATGCAATTCCCTCTTATCGCCGCTTTAAAAGTATGCCCCTCGCGGTATAATGCCGATGCTCGAGTTTTAAAATGACTTCGGACTCCGATCAACTTAATCGATTAAATCGACCGACAGAATTGCCTCTGGCAAAGTTTCTAATCTTAGTCCGTCGTCCCGGGTCTCTAAAATCTTTCCTTCAACGTGTCAAGCGTTGACAGAAAAAATTAGCATTTCTATTAGCATTTACAAATTACTACTTTATTTAATAAGTCAATCGCCGTTTACGTTAACCGGACTTCGGTCGAAGTCACACCGCGCCTATAGATATCAGAAGCCGGTGGCTGTGGTTACGTTAACGAGAAAACATAGAGTAGTTTCCCCTCTTTTAACGTGCATAAGAGCAATTCTAAAAAAATATACCCTTGTTTTAATTTGTATTGCAACATATCTAAAGCTTATCAAACTTGTGTGTGTGTGTTTCTTTATAAGTTGTGATTAACGTGGGAGCCAAAGAAATCTATATAAAGAGAGGCTGATCGATAGTTTAACAATATCGCGCGTTACATTGAAGCGGATGAGGAAGAATGAAAGAAGGAAGATATCCTTTTCCGGAGACAAGGGTTGTTTTGTTTCGCGTAACAAATGTGCGCGTTCGCGAATTGCGAATTGAAACATCGCAGTCGACGATGCAAGCTTAACAAAACAGGGAAAATAAAAGGGATCGGAGCAAATTATAGATTTTTGCTGCTTGAGGAAGTTCGATGATATTTTAAAATAGTAATTAAGCAATACAGAATTTATCAGTTATCCGGATAACATCCGAACAAAACTATTTTCCAAGCTACACGGAAAAAAATTCTCTTGCACGCGAACTAGCTGGGCAGTGCCGAGCGTGAGTATAGAACTATAGAATGCACCGTATATCGAGTTTCACATAGTTGGCCCATTCAATATTTAATTTAATATAATTTATCACGCTTTTTTAATACCTTTCATACCGGATCAAAACGAATGCCGTCGTTCGGCCGGCAATTAGAGGGCTGCGTTTTATTAGAAAATTACGTCGAAAGATTGGCGAACGTCTCACGGTGGAAGATTGCGGTAGATCTTTTCTTTAGATCTTCTGGAAACTCGCGCAGTGCAAGAGCGAGCATATGCCACTCGCTAAGGCGAAGCCGTGGTTTTCCTGAGCGATTTTCCCTACGACCCTGAGAATTATTAATAAAACGCCGGTACACACAGATTATAAAGGTGTACACAGCAACCCCGACGTGCGGATACTTCGTTTACCTTAATCGCTGCGTAACTTGTATTTCGAGTATCTTTACCATGAACGAAACATTAAACACGTTTACCTTCGAAAGCAGAAATCTTCCAACTTTGAAGTTTATTTGCGATCTTAAAGTATCAAGGATGTAATAAAAGCGTGTTTTTATTAAATAGAATAAAATGTAAAAATTCGTCGTCCCATCCATTCGCCCCGTTAGTTCCTCGTTTTCAAAATCCAAGCCAAGCTAATTGCTGCTACTGCAGTTGGTACATATTTATTCGAGTATCTTTCGAAATTCTGAAGGTGTCAATAAAACTTGACGCGATTTTGGTCGTGATATATGTACAGGTGTTATAGTGTCGGCTACGTGCATGAGATTTCTACTTCTCAGACACAGATCTCTACGCCTCCTTCCGGATTCAGAGGTGCGGGTTGGGAGGCTGTAGTTACCAAGACCAAAGGGGTTGATCGATAACCTATTTTTCCGCGGTTGGCGTGGCGCCAGAATTCTTGGCGAGTGGCTGCTGACTCTTTGATATCGCAAACAGTGTAAAGCCGCGGCCTCGAGATAGGTCATGAATGTTTTCGATTCGAATCCCAACAAAATTTCGCGTGGTGTAAGTGGCGTTGGTTCAAGTTGGTTCGACCAACACAATCGGCAGCGAGACTATGATCGGTCACAGTGATCGCCATAGGCTTCCGCGTCTGGTATCGTTTACACTTTACATTTACAGATTGATGTGGAAATGTATCTTGCATTTACGACGACGTCTTAAGCAAAGCAATAACGTAAATTGACAGAACAGTATCTAATCAGAAAATAATCGAATTTAAAGCATTTTCTCAAATTTATTACGGAAAATAGCAAGCACATTTAAATACTTCTCACGCTTATAAAAAGATGTTTTACAGGGTTATAATACGTACTACGCTGTGGCGTTCCTAATAAAATAATATTTCCTGCATCATGAGGTGAAGTAACGAATAGATAATAAATATTACATACTCAAAAGCGCAAAATTGTAAAAAATCATGCAAACATTTTCTTAAACATTTTCTAAAATATGATCCAGATGATCCAAATTACAGCAAAGACAAATACAGTTTTGGTCATTTGGTACATCCAATAAAATATGAAATTAAAGATTTTGCCTTTAAATAGATATTAAACAAAAGAATTAATTGAAAATTAAGGAAACACTGTTACCTTTTATACTTGATACGACTGATATTTAAAGTACTGTCATCTTCATTAAGTAGCTGATCTTCCTTACTGAGATGACTCCACATCGCTTGAACATTGAAAAAATTTTATTTGGTTTCGCGATACAAACTACGAGATATATATATGTATATATATATGTACAACATTTAAATTTATGTGATACCTTGGGCTACGATTTATAACAGATGTTTACAGCATCCATAAGTTTTGCCTAGTAAAAACTGTTAATACATTTTAACAAACCGATTTTTCGGTCAGATCTAGTTTTCATTGACAGTTCATTGTTATTTCTAGAATTGACTAGTTAATATTAGTATTGATAAAATACTAGTATTAATACTTTGATAAGACTAGTTTTGGCCAGTTAAATCGGGTATTGACAAAATTCGGGTTCTAACGGTATCTAACGGTAACATATACATACGGGATGTACCTATACATATGTATAGATACATGTTAAATACATATCGAAATGTTTAGCTATTCCTCCCGGTCAACGCATTCCTGAAAAAACTCCCATATAAAAGGTGCCTCAATTTATTTTGTACAATCAAATATCTGGTATACACTTCGTAATTAAATATAATTTGTTTTAAATTTTGATGACAACATCACGAAATCTCTAACACAGAATTACTTTAACTTTATTTATGATAAAAACAGATTTAAAAGCATTAATGTCCATCTAAAAATCGATTGAGATAATGTAACAATCTTATTTTAGTGGAACAAGTTGATATTATGCAACAAATATGAGATCCATAAAGTATCTTTGCTATATAACTGTTTCGATAACAAATAATAACTATGCAATGCAATAAACTGAAAGAATCAGTATATGTAATCGGTATATTTAGTTAGAATTTTTACAAATAATAAAATTTTTGCAAATAATGTTATTTACAAAATTTGTTGTAACAATTGCGATACTTCTTACGTAGGCCAGACTAAAAGAGACTGATTTACAAAAGATTAAAATAAAACTATTTTGTCAAATTGTTATAAATATTTAATATTAAGTAGCTTTTTTAATTATATTTATAAAATCTTTTTATATCATATTTGTATCGTATATTAATTAGGAATAATATTGTTGTGCCCGAGACTCGTTTATGTTTCCGCACGCACGCGACCACTCACAGACTACCACGTTCGCGCGGAGAAATGAGAATTCAAAGCTTCTTAAAACAAACATGTTTATTCGTGCAGTGTTTTTACAAATCTCTCATAACATAGCGAGTGCGTCCGATTGTTCCTGAGTTAGATTCGTAACGTTCTTGTCAGCGCTTTTTGGTTTCAGGGTTGGGTTGCATCGGTTAGAGTCCGAGCAACCAGGTTTCGGATGGAATGCTAGCTGAGGTTTTAGTTGCTAGGGTCGAATTTCTTACGACAATTAGGCAACTCGTTATTACTAGGTACTGTATAATTACCGGTTCGCTCACAGGTGGAACAATATTATTAGGCTTGCACGTTTATATTTGAGAAACATTTTTCAACTGTATAAGTGCATTTATTTCCCAATAACTGTACATTATATAATATAGAATCTATATTTAATAGATTTGAGATTATATTGTATTCAATATCCATTGTTAACTTTATTTGTTAATCAAATTAGAATAAAATGCCATTTATACATATATATACATATATAAACACAGAAATAATATTAACTAGGCTACTAAGATCCAAACTCTGATCGTAAATGGCATTTTATTCTAATTTTATTGTATATTGTGATTAAATTCTTTATTTATTTGTTAACAACCTTTTAGCAAATAGTTGACGACAACTAAATCTGTCTAAAAGTTACTTTCAGTTATACATTTGGTAAGATATACATGATGGAATGTCCGAAAAGTAATGAGAATGATTTTTACGCTTCCCAGGAAGATTGTGTGAGGAAAATGATGGTCGAGGTTGTTGAGGGGGAATCTCAGGTATACGATCGGATCCTTCTCAGTTGAGGCCCGAGCCTTTCGAACGGTCAGGTCGATACGTTACAGAAGTGCACTCTTGTTTTTTACTCTTGTCGGACAAAAATATAGAGGAGCGTCGAGCAGCGTTACGCAATTAAATTTTGCGTAAAACATGGACAAACAGCTTCTCAGAAACGTTAGAAATTTTGAAGACAACGTATGGGGAAGCTGCTTGTCATATGGAAGGAAAGCCGTTCAGAATGAACAGCGCTCTGGGTGACCTTCGAAAAGCTCAACTGAGAAGGGTCCGACCTGAGATTTCCCCTCAACTACCTCGACCCCCCATTTTTCTCATGCAACCCTTCTGGGGAGCGTAAAAAAGTCGTTTTCATTACTTTCCGAACACACCGTGTACGACATTAGAAAGAAGTTTTCTAAAGTAAATATTTAATATAAAGGAAAATGAAAGAGAGATACATATGAAACATACATATAAAACGAATATGTAAAAGTTATGTACATATAATTGTAAATACCATCCAGACAATCCAAAGGACTACAAAGATCGAAACAATTTTGAGCGTTTGGTGGATCCAATAAAATCTAAAATTATAGAGATTTTTTTTTAATTAACAGAAACTGAACTTAAACTAACAAAATTAATTAAAAATTGAAAAAGATCTGTTACCTCTTATGCTTGATACGACTGATTTCCAAAGTACTGTCATCGTCATTTAGCAGATAGAGACGTATGCCCATATAATGATCAATTATATATTTTGTCCAGTCAAATCCAACCATGCTGAAATTAAATAATTGCTGATCTTCTTCATTGAGATGACTCCACATCGCTTGAACATTATCAGTGGAATGACTCCATTCATTATTGCAAAAAAGTTGGATCGCGTCGGAATATATGTCGATCTTCTTACATAACTTCCACATTCTGAAATACATATAATGCTATTATGATTTTTCATATTATAGACGATATTTTATTTGGTTTTGATACAAACTATGAAATGAGATCTATATATATATATATATATATCAAGTAATAGAAACAACATTTAAATTTACGTGATACCTTGGTCTACGATCTATACAGATGTTTACAATATCCATAAGTAAAGCCGGAAGGAAATGACCGAGCCAAACGCAAATTCTATATGGTATTTTACGTTGAAAGGAAACCAAGAAGGGGAAATATATGGCTTTACGCAAAGGGTACATCTTATTTGTGTCGAAAAGTGTAGAAATGTATTTATTCCAAGTAGGTCCATCGATTGGTGACACAAAATTATAAATTAATGTATCCTTGCCACTCCTACAAGATAAATCCATTTAAACATAATTATGTTGTACATTATACTTCTTTATACATCAGAGTTATTTATAATCAAATGCTAATGTCCATATGTGTATGTGATTACGGTAATACTTAAATATAAGTAATTAACGTATTTAAATACACTGCACATTTGTCCGAGTGCGTTCTATGCTTAAAAAATATGCCCCTTTCTCCACAGATTACAGTATTTTAGAATAGTTTTATTAAATTATAATTAATATATATAATTATGTAAAAAGTAGTTGGTGGGCGTGTCAGATACATATAGATAAATAAAAGAATATTTGCGATAGGTAAAGGATAATAGCAACTGAATACTAATTCTTTTACTTTTTCGGTCTATTAACTTTCATATTTAATTGTCATATCTTCATGATCTTAGTTTGTTACAAGCATTAAGAAATAATATAAATATGTATAATAAGTTATTAAAAATTATGTTTAAAAAATAATCTAAACAATTTACGAGGTTGAAGCATTATTATGCCATTATCCGATGACAATGTTCAAAATAGTAGAAATAAAATTTTATGTAAATTAGCTGTGGAGATGTTGGTCAAATACCTGAATTGATTAGAGACGTCCCACGCACTAGCGATTAAAGCATTTACCGTGAAGTCGACGGGCACTAAATTTGCCTTTAAATCGAGATTACAACGAATAAATCTTCTGATACCAAGTAGCGCAGGTACCATAACACCTAGTGGTCCATACATATTGTCCATCCATCCAACAAGTGGTTCATTGGCGCTAGATATAACTGAAACAGATCTTAATTAATCCCCGTTATGTAGATTCGCAAAAATCAAACTTATTATTAGCTAAACGCGACACACACACACACACACACACACACACACATACATCCGCGATTGTTTATTATTATTTTATAATTATAGAATTTGATAGCACACAATTATGCAAAGCAATTGAAAATAACTAAATATAAATGTTATTTAATAAATTCTTTAGCAAAAGAACTCTGCCAGTTTTTACAATTATTCTGTTACCTATTGCAGGTCGAAATATTCCTACTGGCAAATCTCCGCTCTCGTCTCTGAGAAGTCCTTCCGCAATAGCTTTCGTGAATGAATATGTATTCGGCCATCGTGAAATGATTCTAGTCAAACGACAGTTTATCTCTTTCTTTATTAATATATTTAATTATTTTATTATATTATGCATCATAGAATTACCTAGATATTTTTTCCTCAATTACGTTTTCGTCTAAGTTTCGTGTAAATAAGATAAGGTCTTTGTGATTAATAGGATACGAGTAGAATCGCTCTTCGATATGTTTCACATGGCAGTTTGCATAAATTGTTGACACGTGAATAAGTGACTGCAAATGTTAAGCGTAATGTATGTTTCTTTCTTAAAAAATTAGTAAGAAAATTGCAAAATATAAATAATTTTTGCCACTTATTATTACTAGAACACATATTGGATAAAGGAATTACTTTTAAATTTGGCATGTGCTTTGCAAGTTTTAAGATGGTGGCGGTGGCATTAACGTTTATCATCGTAGAAGTTTTGATGCTATTGTTGAACCGTATATTTGCTGCTATGTGAAAAATTATAGATACCTATAATAAATATATATTCTTTAAGTAGGAAAGATATATAGAAAAAAAGGTACAGAATTTATTTCTAATTGCATCGATAATTATAATTATATGTATGTAAAATATGTGAATAATTTTTTAGATATGCAATATATTTTTATTGTATTAGAATATAGTAGGACAGACGATATATAATGATATGAGTAATCTGAATTAATTACCTGATTTATCAATATGTTCTTGTCATTTTCTGACAATCCGATGTCTTCTATATCAAGATCACCTATTATCGGCACGATTTTTTTACGGAAATTCGGTACTTCTTTTTTTACTCGGTCAAAAAGCTATGGATTACAAATTTGAATAACGATCATTTACAAATATACATTATGTTTCGATATTGTTTTCGAGATACTCACAGGTTTCTCAAACATTTCATCCAGTCGGCTTTTGGGACATTTGTCTCTTTTCGGACGTATTAGCAGATATATCGTTGAAATATCGGGGCAACTTCGTAACAGTTTCTCAGTCAAAAATTTTCCAACAAAACCAATACCGCCTATAAGCAAAATACGTATGTATGTGTATGTACATATACAGGGTGTCACGTTGCTACACACGTGCCGAAATATTAGGAGAAGCGCTTTATAAATAACAATAATTGACCATGCACCAAATGTCGCTCATGTATAGCCGTTGTTATTTACTTAGCGTTTTTCCCAATGCTTTGCCACGCGCCTAACGACGTGAACGTTAGGCTGCAGCTTCTCGTCAAATAGCACGGACGCATTCTGATTTGCGTATTTTTATTAATTAATTTCTCATTAATTATTGAGAAACTTGCAAAACGTAAAGAACTTTTCGAATCAGTTTTACTCGCTCTACCTGCTCACGAGCACTGGTCTGCATATTATTATATAATACATAGCACCCTGTATACCAGATAGCACAAAATGTTGTTTTAAAATGTTTTTTTTTTTGGAATTTTAAGGAACATTAAAAATAAATGTAATTTAAATTTTGTGGAAATTTTAATCCTATAGGATATCCTTTAGTTATTCTAAGGAAAAACACATAATAGCTAAATACTAGCTCCAAAGACATTTTAAGATTATTATGAGATGTTATATAATAGCCTTAATTGTCTTAAAGATATTATTTTACTTTATTGCATTCATTGCACTTCTATAATAAATACCTGTAATAAATATTGATTGTCCGGCGTAAAAGCTTTGTATTGGTGTTCTGTGTGCTTCAATTTCCATGTTTTATTCAATGTGTGAAGTTAATATAGAGATTAACACACACAAATAGATACCACTCAATTTCCTAACTTTCTAGATCGAATGTCCGTTTGACTTGATGTTGCTTCGAAGACTGACGGTTGTAAAAGGAAGCTTGTCTATATATATACTCGCGCCTCTTATTGTTTGAGAAGGACAGATACTTTCTTCCAATTTTTAAACCTGAGTAAGTGTAATATTGTGGTTGGCACACAGATAACGTTTTATTAGAATAATTGACGCTATTTTTATTGTACATTGGTTGTAATTATTTATATTTTTAATTTAAATTCTTGAGACAATATTTGTCAAGTTATCTCTAATTATCTTTCGATTGTTAAATAATCCACTCCAGTTAAATAATTTGAAATATCTGTACATTGGGCACTGATGATGACCATATTAAATGTCGATAAATTGTATTAATAAATAATTTTGCTTCCTCATATATAGAGGAAGCTTTGTTTTCGTAAATTCGTATATGAACCTTTGATTGCGTATAAAGTTGGCTCTAATCAACCAAATTTAAAAGAATTATATATAAAATAGGGGTAGAAGAAACCAAAGAAAAGATTGTTTTTTGAGTTTTTAATGTAAATATGTTCAAAGTGTTTTAAAACGTCGAAATATTGCATTAAAAAAATGGCGGTATGTGTGTATGTATGTATGTATGTCTGTGCCAAATTTACAGAAATTTTTATAACTCCAGAACTGATCAACCAAATCTTAACGAATTATATATGAAATAGGGGTAGAAAAGACTGAAGAATATAATAGAATTAATAAAAATGGTTAATAATAAAGGGGTTACTGATTTCTGTTAAAAAAAGGTTTACCGAAATTTTTTAATTTTATTATATTCTTCAGTTTTTTCTATATTTCTATTTCATATATAATTCTTTAAGGCCGGTATTCATAGTCGGGTTTTATATTCAAGATCGTCTTAAGTATAGTCTTAAGGCGTCATCAGCCAATCAGAGGACCGTATTAGCATCTTAAGACATCACTTCCTCTATGAGGAAGCCAAGTGCAAATTTCTAATTTGCACAATTTTTTTAAATATTGTTATATTATAATCTAGTTTTTAAGCTTATCACGTGATATAATTTTTAATAAATCTTATATAATCAATAAATGTTGTCTTTTCTGGATGGAATTCGGGAAAATAATTTTTATTGATAAATTGGCACGATTCTTCAGGGAAATTTTTTTGTGGTACTTCTTTGTAGAATTTTTTGCAGTTTTTTTTTTGCGGAAATTTTTTTTGCGGTTCTTTTTTTTTCACTCGATCGTAAAGCTGTAGATCCGGGTAGTAATAAATGTATCATCCTTCAACTTTTCTTGAACTCTTCTGAATAATTATAAGCAATAATATATGAGTGTGCATCTTGATACACTGAGAAAAAGAAAATTGAAATATTCAGAAACAAATGTTACTTGTGATGTTTTTTTCGATATTTGTTAGTAATAAAAAAATTTAACTATGATGACAGAAATATACATTTCTGTGAAATATACCTAGTTTTTCTTATTAATTGTAAAACAATTTTGCTTATTTTTTGCTGGAATAATAAATCTACTTGTGCACATTTATATCTTTTATACAATATTTAGTTACAATAGGACTGACCTTTATAGACAAATGACATTTATTTCTAGAAACTAAATTTATGTTTTGGAAACGAATACTTTCAGCTTACTAATTCGTATTGCGTCATACAATATGACTGATGACTAGTAGCGGTGTGTTGTCGCTATGTGGTGACTGTCTGTGATTCATGTTGAGTGTACAATGTAGTTGCTTTAAGTGTAGTTGCTTTAAGTTAAACTGTTAGTTCAAAAAAATGAAGACAAAAAAATAATATGTAACTTTGTGTTATCTGCATTACATGGAACCCAAGGAGCGCTAATGCGCGTTTAATGCGCTTTGAATGTACATTAAACTTTGCATTAAATGGTTGGTGGAACACCAACACCTTGTTACGGCTCCACGCTCCATCTCTCTTTGATTGATTAAATAAAAAGTCAGAAGCTATATACTCATTTAAATATTTTATAAAACCTGTCATTTATAAATTGAATGCTCAATCTGCATTAACTACGTATTTGAATGCGCGCATTTTGAACACACAATTAATGTGGTTGAAGCCAATCCAATTGTACGCGCATTAAAAGCACGTTACGCGCATTGGCGCTTCTTGGGAACTTGATTACTGATATACGTGTATAGACAGTACACACATAGGCTGGGGTGGACCTCGATTCGCGTAGAAAGTTGAAAAACCGAACCGTCTGCCTCTCCCCCACTTACATTTGTACTGTCTACATGCACATATCAGCAAATTACTTCCCTTAGTATTGATACAAAAAATATTAAAATTCAGAAAAGATTAGTCTGAATAATTATATTACCAACACTTTTAACTGTTCCAACTCAGTGAGAACTAGTTTTGCCTATGCATCATTTATCCATGTTGTTCATCGAATGTTAAACAAAGATAAATGATGCATTATACGCATCATGCATGAAACGGAATGCACCCTTAGTAAAAACTGTTAACATATTTTAACAAACTGATTTTTCGGTCAGAGCTAGTTTTCTGTTAGACTGAATTGGCCATTGTTATTTCTACAGAATTGACTATAGTTAATACTATAAGTATTGACGAATTGCCTTTGATAAAACTAGTTTTGACTAGTTAAATCGGGTATTCGGGTATTCGAGTATTCGGTAACTCGGATTCTCTAACGGTAACATAGATAAGAATAATAAAAAATAAGTTTTTTTTATATATTTATTGAAAATGCAGATATGGCACATGTTACATTAAAATAAAATAAAATAAAATAAAATAAATTGAATTGAATTGAATTAAAATCGCTTTTCCTAAATTAACGATAAGATTTACACTAATAGAATTTATTCATTCAATTTATGTTGCAATAAACTGTAATCTACACGTGTGATTATAATTTCTTCAATTTATTCTCAAGGCCTTTAATTATGAAAATATTCAGCGATTTACAATGAGATAACATGTTGTTTTTATTCTTAAAAAACCACGTAAGAGATTTATTGCGCTTAAGAAGCTTTTTTTTGTTTTCTAATGTTTTTGTTATAAAAAACACGATGTTTGAGTATTGAAAGTATTGGAAATAATTTTTAATTATAACTTGTTAACTGGATGATATTTTATATATTTATATACATTTTTTAAATAAAATCAACTCTCTAAATACTTATCTTAAGATATTATGAAACACAGAGTTGTATTAGCATCTTAAGACATTTCTTAAGATGGTTTTGAAATAAGCTTTGACTATGAATACCGGCTATAAACTTCCACGAAAGAAAAGAGTCGTGGAGTTCATGGACGTAACATAAAATTATATAGTCTTTTATAAAAAGTAATATAAAAAACATTAATATAATATATTATAATAAAAACATATTTTAATCTTTTATACTGTATGTTATAGGGTATAAATTAAGCATTACTGATTTTTTGTGTATAAAGTTAAAATACGAGTATTTAGTACAAAAAAGATTTCTTAGTTATATTAATAAAATTTTCTTATATGTGTATTATATATTATATGAATTATGTAATAATCTTATCATGTTTATTTAAGAAAAGCCTTTCAATTACCTATACGCATTTATTTTGCAATAAATATACATATAGTAAAATTTATGTTTAGTAAAATTAAGATTATATTACGTTCGACACTTGTCTATTTATTTTACTTTGTTAATAACTTTTTAATAAGCAGTTAGCAACGATTAAAACTGCTTGAAGATCAGTTAAGATCATAAACTTGATAAATGCCACGCTCTAAGAAGGGTGGTACATCTCCTTAAGGTGAATATTTAATAGAAGAAAAATTTAATATGTGTAAAGAAATGTGTAAAAATTATGTGAATACTTTTATAAATATAATCCAGATGATCCAAACGATAGCAAAGACAAATAGAGTTTTGAAGGTTTGGTGTATCCAGTAAAGTCTGAAATTTATAATTTTATCGTTTAATAAAAATTAAAATAGAATTTAGATAAAATTAACTGAATATTAGGAGACATTTGTTAACTCCACTCTACAATATTGTAAGAGTATATGCTGTAAAGATGTAAGACATAAGAAGTAAAAATTGACCAACTACGGTCGATTATTCTTGAACTGTAAAAGTCCCATTAGTCAATAGCTGTTTACGTTTTACTGCATACTCTTATAATTATTATGACGAGTCTTTACCGTTTATCTCTAATACGACTGATTTCTAAAGTACTGTCATCTTCGTTGAGTATAAAAAAGCGTACGCCTTTGTAATGATTAACAAAATAATTCGTCCAGTCAAATTTCTTCATGTAAAATTTAAATAATTGCTGATCCTGCTCATTCAGACGATTCCACATCGCTTCAACGTTGTCATAGGAATAACTCCATCGCCTTGTAAGAAAGGGTGCCATTTCGTAGGATCTACTATGAATCTTTCTATATAATTTCCACATTCTAAAAGACATATGAATTTATTATAATCTTTTGTTTTACATAATTTTGTTTTTAAGCATCTATTTATATTTCTGCAGTACCTCGGACGATAATTCATGCAAATGCTTATTGTGTCCACTAGTAAAGCCGGAAGCAAGTGACCGAGCCAAATGCAAATTCTATATAGCATTTTTCGTTGTAACATTATTACAAAGGGCCTCCATTGAGCTTTGGGCAAGGGATATGTCTTCGTTATGTCGGCGATTTTATAGAACCATTCACCTATAGTAGGCGCGTCAGCCGGCGGTACGAAATTATAAATTAACATGTCTTTGCCTCTCCTACAAGATAAAGCTACTTAAGGATATTTGAGCCGTAATGTTTCTTATGTAATGTAATGTTACGTAATGTTTCTTCATGCATCGAAATGATAAATCATTTATGCGCTGATGTACACAATGTGCAATTACAATGTGCAATGTGCAATCATAATTTAAGAATAATTATTTTTATCGCTATCAAATACGTGTGGAACAGATGAGAATGTATTAAAAATGTATCTGAATAATTCATTGGAATAATAATTTTGTCGTAAAAAAGAGATTTTGCGTCATGGCGACTGTATCTATAATAATTACCTGAATTGAATAAAAACATCCCACGCGCTTGCAATTAATGCGTTTCCGGTGAGATCAACGGGAACAAAATTTGCAGGGATATAAGGATTGCATAGCATAAATCTTTGAAAACCACTCGATATAAACACCGTTAGCCCTATTTCCCCTAAAAAGTTGTTGTTCCATCCGACGAGCGGTTCGTTAGCGGTAGATGTAACTGAAAAATATGTTTATTATTTCTTTTTACTAATCCGCAGAAATTTGCGCACAAATATAACTATTATCACGATTTTTTGTTACTATCGCAAAATATTATTTCTACGTGAATTATGCTTACATTAATTTATTTAATGTAAGCGTAATGATAGTTACACTTATGTAATAGAAATATATCCTTTGAAGTTTATAACGTGTATTAGAAATACGTATATTCAGATTTAATCTTGATACTTAACATTTTATGGAAGACAGCGTTTAAAATACTAAAAACAATATTGTTGTGATAATAATGAGAAAAAAAGTTTACATTGCATTTATTAATTTCATCGATGCTGTAATCTAGATCGGATAATTGTATAAGCATAAGCGATTAAAAGTAATAAACTCTCAAATAAAAAGAAAACTGTTACATTACAATCTTATATATTATAAATTATAAATGGTATAATTAATCTACTTATGGCAGGCCGAAATATTCCAATTGGTAAATCTCCGCCTTCATCTCTGAGAAGCCCTTCCGCAATCGCTTTTGTGAATGTATATGTATTCGGCCATTGTGAGGTAATTCTGCCAAAATGATTATTTAAGTTTCTACATTGAAGTATTTAATTAATTTACTATATCGAGGACGGGAGAAATACACACTTGGCTTTCTTTTCCTCCATTGTATTTTCGGATAAGATATGTGTAAGCGTAATAAGATCTTTGTAATTAATAGGATAAGTGTAAACATGTTCTTCGATATGTTTCACGCAGAAATTCGCATATATGGTTGACACATAGATAAATGACTGCAAGATAAATGTCAATGAATAAAGATTGCGGAATAAAATGTCGATTAAATTTATTCCATCAACCTATATTTGCGATGGATATTTGTGTGAAAATTAATAACATTTTAATTATTTTTACTATTCGCATGCGTTTACTCTTAGAAAGAAGAATTACCTTTAAGTATGGCATAAGTTTGGCGATGCGCAAAATGGTATCGGTAGCGCAAATATTTGTTTGTATTTGAGATTTGATTTTCTCCTGAAAGCGTACATTAGCTGCAAGGTGAAAAATTATGGATACCTGAAATAAATATTCCGTTTCACTATAACATTTGAAATATTTAGAAAGAGAATAATAGAGAGAAAGCTTATTTAATGGCTTTAAATGTTTTAATGGTTGTAATTAGATTTACATAAAATATGTAGCCTTTGAGTATATGTGTATACGTATAATACGTATACGTGTATACGTGTGTGTGCACAAGATAAATTTTTATGCGTCGAGATATATAATATAGGCGAAAAAGTAACAAGAATAATTAGAATTATTTACCTTATATATTAAAATGTTCTTATCATTTTCCGACAAACCTAAGTTCTTGCAATCGAGATTGCCTACGATTGGCACGACTTTTTTACGGAAATTAGGTATTTTCTTTTTCATACGGTCATAAAGCTACAGATTATATATTTATATAGCAAAATGTTTCACGAATACATCATGGTTGTTCGATATCGCTTTCACTGCACTCACCGAACTCTTAAACATTTCGTTCAGTCGACTTTCGGGACTCTTGTCTTTTTTCGACCGTATTAATAAGTACATCGTCGAAATGTCGGGGCAACTTCGTAATAGTTTCTCGATTAAGATCTGTCCAAGAAATCCGGTACACCCTAACAAAATAAAGCTATATGCATTCTACTTTGTGTAAAACGATATCTTGAAAACTATATTTCAATGTGTATTAAAGAATTATTATTAATTAAAAAATTAATGTTTAGTAAGTTTATGAACAATAACTTAAAAAATAATTTGCTATTAAATTACGCATGACTTACAAATATTATAATTTTATATACACTTTCTGCCCCTTACAAAGTATATGCATATATATATATATATATATATAGATTATTTACATTCAGTATAACAGAAAAGAGACAATAATAAAACTTGATACATTGGTTAGATGTTTATTTTTAAAGTTTATTTTAAAGATGTTTTACCAGTGAACAAGAGTATACTGTTTAGAGAAATATACATTAATTATTTATTCTAATAAATTTTCTATTAATAATAAAAGTTAATAATGCATTTCGTATATTTATACTGTCATAACATAAAGATCAATGTATTGATCATCTTAATATTATCTTTACCATAAAGAGAAGATATTTCTATGATAGAAAGAGAAAGAGACATTTAGTAGCCTTAATTCGTAAAATTAATATTTTACTTTATTAAATACATTGCACTTGATAAATACCTGTAATAAAGATCGATTGTCCGGCGTAAAAATTTTGTATCGGTGTTTCATGTTTTATATCTTGTTCATTATTCATGATAAGCGAAATTAATATTTAAATTAACAATTAAAAAATATGTTAGTTATATCTTCTATCGAACGTCTGCTTGATTAGACGCTATTACTAGGACTACCTCAAATAGATATTCTTACTCCGTATATATACACAAGTGTATGCGATATATGGTATCATGCAATTATATGTATGCATGTCAGTCACTTATCAATTTCTGACATACATTCTTCAAATAATATGTGTATGAATCATTAATATTAATATAAATTAAAAATAAATTTAAATGTCTAATTTGCGTTTCTGTGTCAATACTATTATACTAAATTAAAAATTTCGAAACTTTGTTCCTTAGGCAGATCTAAATTCGTAAAAAAAACCGCAAAAAATAATTGTATTTTTTAAAGTTAGATTACATCTAACTTTAATAAAGATTGCTTATTTTAAAAGTTAATAAAACTATTTTATATTGTTATCAAAGGTGTAAGTATGCCGTTATAATACAAAACGCTTTTTGAGATTAATACAAAAAGTTTAATTTAGCAGAATTTATTCATACATCAAACAAGTCTTATTAATTTGGGATTTTATGTAGCGACCATTGCTAACGATTAGTTTAATCAACGTGCACGTTTTTATAACTTGCAATCAATTTTTAATTGCTATCCGCAATTAAGCAATAATACACAGTGTTATCCAATTAAAAACGTAATAGGTATACGAGAATAACTGACGCAAAAACTAATTATTAATATCAATCATAATATATAAGAAGACAGTTCAGCATTAACAAAAAAGGCTTTGTTGTAAGCGCGACAAATCAACAATCACATGATTCGTGTATAATAGTATAGTCTCTAGAACTAAAAAATTAATACTAGACTGGCTATCTGCTTAATAACTAAAAATTGTTTTATCTAATTAGAACTGTGTAAAAGTATAGATCATTATTTATTTTTTGCGGTTTTTCTCACAAATTTAGATCTGCCTAAGGAACAAAGTTTCGAAATTTTTAATTTAGTATAGTAGTATTGACACAGAAACGCAAATTAGACATTTAAATTTAATTTTAATTTATATTAATATTAATGATTCATACACATATTATTTGAAGAATGTATGTCAGAAATTGATAAGTGACTGACATGCATACATATAATTGCATGATACATATCATTACGAATATAATTACGAATGCAATTTTAAGAACGCAATGATAATTCTTCGATACTTTTATTTTGTAATATTTAATTCTAGAGGAATATATGATCTCCAGAATATTATTGCTTTAAATATTTCAGTTTACAAAAATTATAGTTTACGAAAAATTATAATTGCATATGGAGGACTTATATTTCTATTAAAATAATATTATAAAAATAAATTCTGTCTCTCTCTCTCTCTCTCTCTCTCCTTGTTTCCTAAAATATTATTACTTAGATTTACCAAATTTATCATTCAATTATTATTTAAGTACTATTAAGTCTTTTTATAATTAGTCTTGTAATGATAAATTTAGTATTGTTAAATAAATTGTTAAATGTTCTTTGAGAGAATACTATCGTTTTTATCATACGACTTTGCGTTTGTTTTCATTCCTGATTTATAAACAATATAAGATTAACATTTTAGGCTATAAACCGCTTTCACGGATTTCTGTTTAATTCGCAATTTGATCACGAATTAGAACATTCCATGTAAAATTTTCCGTTACAATCTTATCATTTTTGTTTGATAATGTCAGAATTAATCTGAAAAGATCTGACTCTTGTATATCAGTAATTATGATTTTTCTATTATATGTTTCTTACGGAAAGAAACGATTGCACATATAAAATTTATACATAAAAACGTAGAATTAGCGGCGTATTTTGTTGTTGTAAAATGTTTTCGTTTAATTGGCGGTAATGTGTACGGCGCGATGCGCTATCGTCGTGAATAATAATCATCATAAATGCGCAATCATCTTCAAGGCAATATAATGACGTCATTAGACACCATTATTTATAGGTTGGTATATCTGAGAATCAATTCAAACAGCGCGCTAAGGATACGACAACTCATTTCTAATTATTCAGATTCTTTCAAAGATATTTCATAGTGTTGGCAAATATTGAATCTGCGACATGTAAGTTTTATCGTTAAAAGAATGCAAGAGTTAGGATTTATAATATTTTTATTGGTACATATATAAATTGGTACGACGCCCTTCACGGAATGAGGGAAGTTGCAGGTTCGAATCCTGGCTGAGATAATATTTTTTGCAATAAATTCTTTACAGTTTTTTTAAAATAATTAAATCGTGCCGATTTAATTTCGGGGAGGGAAGGGTATATTAATGTTACAACGATAGATACCGCGCCTAACTCGTTTGGTTGTTTATTAATTTGTTTACATATATAAAATTTCAATTAACAATGTAGATATAAAGTTTCAATTAATAATGCAGATACAAAGTTTTAATTTAACAATATATATGTAAGTAATATAACTTCTGTATTTCTGAACTTATAATGCTTTTAACTGTTTATTTTACAAAATCTATTGGTTGCACAATATTATCGTTGTGAACCGAATATACACATCGCGTAATTGCGTCTGGTTCAAAATTTATTTCTCCTTTTCTCAGCTCTATCCATCGAGGAGTTCGTCTTAAATTGCAAAGTTTTTGTGGTAAATTTCGCCAACCAAGTGGCACTGAATTTAATGATGTATGCACCATCGTTGCAACAGCAAAGTGGTTCGAAACGGCACCGATCGTGTCTGATCGATGTTCGTGACTACTGTCGTTATACTTTTCGGCCGTTCAAATTTACGTTTGATCTGACATGGGGCGGCGAGCGCGATGTAATTGCATTAAAATTATACACCATCGATCGTAGCCTATTAATAAAATCAAATTTCCACGTTGCAAGTGCGATCGACCCGCGGTCACAGTCGCTGAAATCAGATCCCTGCTACTACTGTTCCCGCTGCCCGAAGCCAAAAATTGATACTTGATCAAAACCTGATTGTCTATAAACTAACAAACCCGCTATCCTTGTTGTTCACTTTTTCAAGACATACTTTCAACTTCTGCCTCAAGTTCCATAACCGCGCAGAAGTCGCACAAAAAAATCAGTAATAACTTATCGCACGTGCGCGAAACGAAAGTTGAGGCAGTTTCGGCAGCATTGCGTCATGCTTAGACATTACTTGCTTTCGTCGATCATAAGATACGAGTATTTTTATATAGATCGCATCGCCAAAGAAATTCCGATTTATCTTGTTCGCAAGCGACACTTTATGCTATAAATAGCAATGACGAATGAACTACCGCAATCTATTATTACTAAAGAAAAGAACTTTTAAAGGTATAAAAATTAAAATAGATATGTAAAAAACGTTAACTAATTTTGATTGACAAAATAAACAAAATTAAACAATAATAAGTAAATAATAAATAAATAATAAAATTAATTATTTGGAGGTTAAAATTATCTAAATTCTTGTTTCTTAGAAACGTTTAACTTATCTATTATACCTAATTATATAATTATTAAATATGTGATGTATTATTTTAATAATAGATTATTAAATTATTAATGTAACTCTGAGATATATGTTTCCTTTTAAATATTTTCATGATACGTTTCTACAGCCACCTTAAGTTTAAACAAGTAGATTTGTCAAAACACAGAATCTGCGTAATAAAAATCTGCAAGTAATCTTGAATGTGTTTATCGGTCTTACGGACATAGCTGGCCTTCGTTTTTTCACATAAGATCAATATGTGTGCTGGGTTTCTTGTAACGTCAATGTACTCGTACATGGATAAGGAAAAGGCGATCGATGCAGCGTGTATTTCTTTGATATCGCGTCACGCGAAGCGGTAAGAATAGATGCGATTTGTCTCGGTTAGATAAGCCAGTAGCACATTGCATCGTATCTCAACAAGTTCTGTCAATAGAAAGTAACAATATACACAAATTGAAATAAAATTTATGATAGAAAAGTGATTAAACTCCTTACAGAGCGCATAAATAATTAACTCTTTTTCCACTTCTATTTGATCATTAGAGACGGCGCTAAGCTATTCGGCGCCCTCATGCCATGCTTAATTCGTTTAATGTGTTATTATATATTGCCTTGTTATCAGAATAGTATTTTTTAAAATAAATTTATTTGTTTGACACATTAACATCATATAACTGGTCAAACTTAATCATTTGTGTCCTCCAAAAGCCACCAATTGAAGAGGACCTCAGAAATCGAAATCGATTATTGGAAATCAAGTACAATTATTTGTATTAGGAAAGTTGATTAGTCGCCACAACTGCGCCCCAGACTCGTACTGACCATCGATTTGTAACTACAATTATTTTAATATATAATTTAATATATAATTATTTTCTTTAATTTTTAGCTTAATGTTACGGATTTTATTTTTATTATCTTGTACCTGTCTAAAAAGAGCTATTCATTCAAACAGTATTATAAACAAAAAGATTTCAGATTCAGTAATCTTTAGTCATGTTTAGTGGTATTTTTCAGAAAATTTTTTTTATCAAATTTTCAGAGGAAATTTATCATCGGAAGGAATTTAACTTCTTTTCTTATAGAAGAGCTCAGAGAAATTCTGATTCTTTTATCTTCATTAAAAATTAAATTTCTTATTGTACATTTTATAAAGATTTTATATTGCATAATATTCCTTGTAAAGGAATTACTTTAGAAACTATAATTCTTCCGTTTAAAATTAAATTTCCTACGTTGCTAAGCAATCGTATGAGATGACACATGTACGAAGTGCGCTAACGCGATTTCTCGACTTATCATTAGGCCCACTTGACCCAGAAAACCGCAAAGAGTACTAGTCACACGGTTCTGGCCTCAAAAAGCTCTCTGGATTGCATCTGCCATTATTTTCGAGCAGCTTACAGCAAGAACGAGAGCGTGCGGAAATTTACAGACGGACATTCCTCAGAGCGATTAATCCCCGATTCTCTTTACTAACTCTGTCGCAGTTTCGCTCCTTTCGCTTCACCCCTTTTGGTTTCCACGCGCTTTTCCATCCCTCGTAACCGCAGTCAACGTGCTCCTCTCGTTCTTCTTCTTAAGCGACTTATGCGTCCGCGCGAGAAGTCTACCCTGTGAATCTACGTGTGGCAGTGCAAAATGCTCAGCTGCTGTGAGGACGATGATGACGATGATGATGACGACGACGGTGGTGGTGGCGGCGATGGCAACGGCGACGGCGGCGACTACCACCGCGCGCAGCCGATCGATGGCCCAGTGCCACTTCGCGCACGCAGCCCGTCCTTACTCCCCTCGCTCATCCCCTCCTACTCCCACCCTAACGATCTGTCCTCATCGGGCACCCTCTCGGGGCGCGGAAAAGGCCTTTTCCGCACTCCGGCCCGCGAGCGAGCGCACCCCCTTCCTTCCTCGCTTCATCTTGTCCTCCTATGTTCGCTCTTTTCCACTCTATCCTGCGTCTTTCATGCATCTCTTCGTCTTTTATGATCTTCTTCTACTTTGAGCTTTCCTTCGATATCGCGTTACGCGTTCCTTACTGTATCCTTGGTTGATTCTTTTTTCAAGAGGATCCTCGGAATTTCTGTTTTGTGCAACCAACCGCCTTTTACCTCGATCGTATCTGAGATTTTTATTCTGAATACGTTGCATGTCCTTTTTGTGTTTCTTTGAATTCTTTTTATTGTACCAAAATATTAGTTACGAAATAATTCTTTCTTCTAATTTATCTTTTATTTTGTATATATTTTCTAAGTCGTTTGATGTGTGTCCCTTATACATCTGTGAAGTACTTTTTTTAACATCTGAGAAGATTTTTTTCGTAATTTGTATTCAAGAACTGGAGTCCTTTAAGCTGCCAACCCAAATAAGGGACCGTTTGTCATTGTGAGCATTTCTTTTTCGTTTTATTTTTCCATACGTTCTCAAAGGCTCGGTGCTCATATGTAACGAGCCCTCGATTTTTTCCCAAATAAGTAGACTTTCCTCCTGTGTAGCCATCTCTTCTTTTTCTATTCTCCTTCTTAGGGCTCTTCTATTCTTTTCCTCTCTACGAAACGAACGTTCGTCACGTAATGTGCTCGCCATCGTCGTTGCTGATCTAATCGCAATCGTGATAGCACTTTTTAGCCTAGCTCTTTGCGAACTTAATAACATAAAGCGCCGTTTCTCCTCTGCAACCACCGTTTGACCGCCGTAGATCTTTTTTCCCCTTGATTCGGTCCCCTCTTCATGACTGCGCCGCGCCGGCTGGTCATTACTGTGGCTGCCTCTCACTTCGATGTTTTTTTAACTCTTTCAGTCTTCCACCCTTTCTTTCTCCCTCTCTCCTTTTTGTTGATTGCGATATCTGCTTTTCCCTTCATTCATCTCTTCTCTATATCTCAATCTTTCTTTCTTTTCTTCGCTTTAATACTTCTTTACTCTTCTTCTTCGTTCATTTTCCTCCCTCTTATTGTTTTTTATTCTTCCTCTTTCTTCTTTGCTAACGTCGACATTTTCCTACCTCTCTACCCTTACCTCTTTCTCTCTTTCCCACTGGTTTTCCCACCCCGTCCCAACATCATCCCCTTCTTCCACTCCTTCTCCCTACCACGACAAAACGGCAGTCGACGGAGCGGTCGCAGTTTGAACACGCCAGCTTGCGGATCACGAAGGGTCTCCATCCGCCGCTTCCACCCTCGCAGACGATTCCTCTTCTCGTTCCTTCAAGCGCCGTCCAACCTCATTCTTTCTCCCTCTCTCTCTCTCTCTCTTTCTCTCTTTCTTTCTCTCGTTTTTCCCTCTTTTGCTTTCTCTCTCTCTTCTCTCCTTCTCTCTCTTTCTCTCCCTATCCTTGCATTCTACTCTCTTCCGATTCCTCGCGTTCATCCCGAACGACCGACGTTCGTCCCGCTATCGAGCGTCGCTCGATCTATTTTGCAAGTGGATACGGCACGCACCGGTCAGACCTCAGACCATCACATCGTACCGCCGCCGCGCCGTGGCATCGTCGTTCGCTGTGCTGTTCGCGTTCTTTCGCAATCGCAAACGTCGCAGCGGGATGGCATTCTGGCAGACCAGGGAATCCCGACCACGCACCGGTTGATACAGGAGGTTAGTCCACATAGAAATACTCGCGATTTTACGCGAGTACACGTTTCCATCTCGGATCGAGCTTGCAAGCTCGCTCAATGGGAGACAGCCGGAGAACCGTCGCTCCGAAGCCCTTTGACAGTCCATGGGCATCGTAATGACACACCCAGGCCACGAAACGTGCACCATTGAGTGTGCCTAGGGCAATGGCGAGCCTTGCTTCGAAGCCGCGTTCGACACTGCTAGATCAATAACACGCCGCAAGGAAAACTCGTACGCGCGGAAGCTTCTCGGTCGGCCAGGAGTTCGCACCACCGTGCGGTCCGCCTTCGCGATCTCTAAAACGCAATAACTGTCGTGTCGAGACGCGTGCCGTGAAATCGTGTCGGATTATCGGATCGTCGTCGTGTAGTGGTGATGACCAGCCATTGGCAAACTGACCCAAACGGTAATGATAATTTTCTTATTATCGAACAATTAATCGGCAGGACGGATGATTTATTTAGTTCACATTAGTTGACGATGGCTTTAGGTCGACCATCTACTAATCTCTGTAAGCTAATGGAGGATAATTCTCGGTATAATCTGTGTGTGATTTGCTAAAATTAATAATCTAATTAATTCAGACCAGTTGGCGTTGATTCTGAATTTACATTGCACCAGCTAGACTGCTAGCTGGTTTACGATATTCTAACAGATTAACGATAGTCGTTAAGTCTTCCCGAAGCTTCAACGAGGCAATTTCTGCTGGCGAGCCGGACGAGGAAGTCGGATTCCGCTTCGGCGAGCGTGGAAGGACGCACGTAGCGGCGGTGTGTCATAGTAAATCGAGGCGGCTATCGATTTTTTACGTGTGCGCCTCGTCGGCTTGAATGTCGAGGATGAACGGAAACGTCGCGGTTAATATCGGCATCCGATGGACGTGAAAGCCAATCGAACGATGAGATTACACGTTTCTATGCGAATTAAACCGTGGTTCTATATGGCTGCTCTAGAAGATCTCTCGCAAACCGACGATAATAAACGTAGTGGTGCACCGAAAAATTCCCGTTGCGATTACGATTAGAATTTTAACAACGAGATTAGAATTTTAACAAGAGATCCAGCTGTTATGCAAAAATTCAAAATAACGCTTTTTGATTGAATTTTGACGAAAAAGCAATTTTTTTTGGTCAACTTCTATTGGACAATTTTTTCCCTGCACGATATTGAATGCAGGTATAGAACATTCCAAAATATTCAATTTTATTTTTATTAAATATTTCTTGGTGAATTAGAATTTTAATTATTTTTAAATTGATTCTGTTTTGGCATATTAATTATTTTCGTACCACTATATTAAATGTCTCGATGTTAAAATGGCTAGAAACAAAGATTTTTTGCAAACATTAAAAATATTCTACCATTGTAAGTTTTGCTTTTTTAAGACATTGATGCAATTTAGAATTTTAAATTAGATGCTTAAATAATTGCAATAAATAATTAAATTCAAGCAATCAAATCAGAAGAGTCGGCAAATAAACTGTAATTGAAACTAGCCTCATGGATTCTAGTGTATCCTGTATATAAATTTGATATAATTATTGTGAAATTATATATGTAATGTATTTATATGAATTGTATTACCAATCGTCTCGCTGGCGTTGCCATTATGCTATTACTAACTATAAGTAGTAGAGATCTACATTGGGCAGGACGAGGATAACGAAATCGGAATCTCATAAACTATATGGACGATATATCGCTCTTTCTATGTTTAGACATTTTTTATCTAGTATTGGAAATCGCATCGATCATATTACGGACGATTTTCCTTGTGCAGAGACATATACATATGTGCAGTATAGCGAAAAATGAAGCGTGCATGGAGCATATGTTGCAAAATCAGTCTACGTTCGGTCTTCGAAATGGAATGAGATTTTTCTGTGCCGTACTTTGTGAATGGTGTATCAGCGACGGCATCGCCATTCAAGCTGTTCACAGAACGATTTATCGACCATGCGGGAGATATAGCACTGTCGTGTTTTAATGTACAGGAAAATTTAAAGTCGTGTTTTCTTTGGCATTCGCTGTCGCGCAAATTTACGGAGCAGAAATAAAATTTAAATTACATGTGCGTCGATCATCGTTGTATTGAAATCCCGTTTATAGTTGAGATATTTTCCTTGTCATGGTTGGGCAACGAGATATTCTAAAAGTTGTTTACCTGCAAATTCTTCACCGAATATGAACATGTTTTTCTTAGCAAAGATTGTCTGAAGACAATTGCTAAAGCAACTATTTAATTTTTAGCAGTAACTATACAAACACTTTGATTCCAACTAAAATCTTTATTAAAATTAATTACTAAAATTATCATATATTTATTTTTTGCGTGTTGACGGCCTTCATTAAATGTCTCGACATTTCCATATAGCCATTATAGAAAAATTATAAAACATGATTATTATTTTATATATGTATAACGCTTCGACATTAAAGGCGACTACTATTTTTCCATGACTGTATAACATCTTGAATTTGTAAAAAAATTAACTTCTCTAAATGTTTATAAATTATAAACGTATAAACAATTATTTTATTGTATGTACACTCTACCGGCAGGAATGCCTCATACAAGCGATATGACACTCGCTATTGCAGGAATTGAAAATTTTTATATAAATAACGTGAGAAAATCTAGTTAGTCGTTTTTGAACTTGTGTATTCTAAAATTTGTTGAAACGAATCTGACGTAACGCAATGTGGAATACGTGCTGGTAAATAGGCCGGTGAAAATCAATATATTTATTCTTTCGCACGGTTCGATACAGGTAGTACTCTATGACGTACTGGTTTAATCTTGATAAAAAACATGACCTCGTAAACGATAAAAATAATATCGCAGGTTTTACCGGGTCTAACTTTAACCCTCTTACCCCTTGTCTCGGCTTTAATGTAAAAATCAAGCTATATAAAAAGAGACAAGAAGAAGCAGTGCATTTTGAAATAATCGTCCTGTCATATATTCTCGTGTGCTCAAAATAACTCGCAGTTACCTTCCGCTTATATTCTCCCTTTCGTGTTTTTCCTGCAAATATCATTTCTGCTAAAGAGAAAATTAACATGCATCTCTTCGATAAAGATATATAAAAACGTATCGTGAAGAGGCGACAAGACTCGCCGTTTGTGAAAATTGTCATGGATTGATGGAAGTGACGTGCGCTATGATAATAAGTGGATCAATGTGCGCCATATTTAATAAGCGCAGATAAAGGAGCGCATCAATGTCGAGCTGAAAGCATTGGCATATGCCTGGAAATTCGATTGACACGGCATTTTCTATCATCGGCCGAAGAGCCTCCAACATCGGAGATAGTAACAAAATTTCTGATGAAAGTGACGTTTTTAAAAAATCGCTATAAAAGTAATGAAAGAGTTATATTTAGCGCTAAGTCAATTTATTATTATAATAGAACTATAAGTCTGTCTTTCATTTTTCTTATTATCAAATTTATATCACTATTACACATATCTATTTGCTTTTTTCTTCAAGCTTTTTAAAATGTAATATATAAAAAGCAAAATTTTTTTTTATTATAAATAATTTACAGAATTATTTTCTTATCTTAAGTAATTTTGGAATTGTTAAATCTTATTTAGAGATATAAAAGTTTTAGAATTCGATATTTAATTTTAAGTATTAAAAGCTGCGAAAATAAAATGATAAAATTTATTTTGTTTATAGTTTCCTATTTAAGTATTCCCAGTTACCGGTTTTAACCAACGCGATGGTATTCTCCGTTGTATTACCGTTTATTTAACGAAGAGAGAGGAATGCGAAAAATGTGCATCGATAATGCGCTGGTAATTAGTAAAACTGAGCGATACTGGACGAAACTGCACACGCTTATCGATCTTCCATAACTTTGGTGCAAATTTTGCTCACGAATTCCTATACGATCGTTAATACTATTAATTTAAATATTGACAGTAATCGATGCAGTCCGGAGATTCTTTTTTTAGCATAGTTCTACGAAATACCCTTCAAATAAAAATAAATTCTATAATATATAAATATCTCTTGCGGATGTGACGCTAGGCAAAGCCCTAAGCTGTAGCTCCGATCTAAATCCGGCTGCGAATTGGAAAATATGCAGCGAAGGCACGCCGCTGATTACCAAAACCGAACGCTACACAACACACATGTATACACACGTAACCGATTATCGATCTCTTCGCGTATAAGTTTGGCGGAAATTTCGCGTCGCAACTACGGCGCAATCGTGTGCCCCGGATCCATCTCCTTTTTCTTCCACCACCCCGCGTTGCTATTTCGAAACTTTTCCCCGTGGGTCGCGTTTACACAATCCAATAAGTTAATCGCCCGTACCGGTATCTATACCGTTGTACATGCGGGATTTTAGTATCTTAACTTGATAATTTAAACTTCGCGTCGTGTTACGTAATCCGTTTTCGACCGCGCTTTTCACCTAAACCTGCGACGTTGGTCCTCTCATTTTTATCACTATCGAATGTTATTTACGAGCGTTTATCTGCCAGGATTTAGTTCGGTCAAGTGATAGTTTGACACACCGCTAACACTCTCGCACTTTTGGCATGTACGGATATTTCGGAATGAACGAAATATGAACGTAGCATCCATTCCTTTTTTCTTTCGAAATTTATGATCGACCTTTATAAAAAATTAACGTTCGATTTTTCTATTATCTCTACAATAATGGATTCTATAATCTCTACAATTTTAATACTGATGGATTACTATGGTTAATATCGGGGAAACTATAATCAGAGCGTTATCTTTGATAATAAACCGCTTATGCAACTGAACAGATGGGGAAAAATATCAATTACTTTGTATAATGAGAAAGACGGTCATAAATTACACAACGAAGAAATAAAGAAAGCAATAAGATAAAATTATATACTACTTTAATGTTCTGTGAAGTATCCGCGTATTAGAATTAATTATTCCTTTCATGTTTTAATTTCAGTCAGTAATCATTATTACATAGCTGCAA